GTTCCATCTCCAGCATCTCACACACACACACACCACATCACAGAAAATAAAAATCCTGACAGAGCTACCATGTAAATGTTTTATATCTCTGCAGGTAAGCTAAAAAGTACTTGTTCTGTAAGCTAAAATTAGATAAATTCAGTTGGATGAGACATCCAGGCAAATTAGTTGTTGTTTAATTAATGCATGTTGGTGAAACTCCTCCAGCAGAAGGCAAATTAATACAAGAGGTCCTAGAAAGTGGCCCAAGCAAGCTCATTTACCTCCCTGTGTTCTGTTGCCTGTGAAATGCAGATGATAATACATCCTCTAGGGGGCTTTTATAAGACTTAATAGACTAAGGCATGGTCTAGTTTCAGTGCCTGCCACACCGCAAGGGCTCAGTTAATTCTAGATACTGCTCATTATCATTATTACTAAATGGCTGCAAACCACCAAATGCTGGGACCACTGCTCAACTCCAGCCCTCAGCTGCACTCACCAGTGTGCTTGCTAAAAAGTCATGCAGATTGCTGTAGCACCAGAGTCATCTGGCCCTCCAGCTAGAGGACCACTAAGCCCGGAGCCTCCCCTGAAACCATCTGATAGCTGCTAAGGTCTTCTCTCGTCCTGGCCCCCAGGAAATAGCAGGACCCTACAGGTGACTCAAACCAGCAGGCATAAAGGACAACGAAAGGGTAGGCAAGGCCACTGAGGGAAGGGGAAATGCCCTGCTCCTTGCTGAGCTCTGGTCAGGGGCAGCAGAGAAAGCCCAGAGGCCCACGTGGCCCCAGGGCTGAATATAACGCAGGCAGTGTCAGCGGCCAATGTGCAGAGCTGGGATGTGGTCCTCCCTGGCAGGACAGCTCTGTGCCCAGCATGAGCTGTGGTCACAGCTGGGAGGACCACCAGGAGCCTGAGCAGGGAGAAGGGCTGGGGTGGTTGTAAAGGCCAGCAGAGGGACAGAGCAGACACACACCTTGAAGTCACCAGAAAGCCCATCCCTCTGGGGCTTAGCATCATTCTTAGCTCCCATCCACTGAGCACCTATGCAAGCCACACATCTTTACAGGGTCTTAACCTTAAGGAAAAGGTTAGTATACCCCTATTTTACAGGGAAGAAGAGTGAGGCTCAAAGCGGGCAAATCAGCTATCCCAGGCACACAGCCGATACCCATGCCAGCTCTGGTTCTTTCCCTCCAGCCCCAACTCCCTTGTTCACCCCTCTCCCCCTCTGCCTTGGCCACATGTGAGAAGGGCAGAAAGCACAGCCGAGGCATGTGTTCAGCCCCCTGGCCTCTCCGGTCCTCACATCCGTTTCTCCTTGCAGGAAGGTGAACAAGTGCTACCGGGGCCGCTCCTGCCCCATCATCGTGCATTGCAGGTGGGTGGGAACTGCAGGTGTCAGGCAGCCCAAGCCAGAGGACCCGGCTGGGCCTTCCTGATCCCACCACTCCTTGGTCCTGCTCCTCTCCCATGCTTACTCCTGGGCATGCTGCCAGCCCAGTCCGTTAGCACTGGCAAATGACATTCCACTGGCCAAATGTGGCATGGCTGGTTTTAATGGCCGCGCTAAGAATGGTTGAAGGAAAAAAATGTGTGACAGAGACTTTCTGTGTCCCACAAAATTGGAAAGATTTACTGTTTGGCCCTTTCTTTAGAAAGTTGACCCAACAAAAGCCTGGCCCAGGATGGAGGGCCATTCCCATTCTGTCCTGCTATGCCCACCACAGGGCTGTCCTTTATGGTCATCTCAGGGCCCAACATCTCAATCCCTGTGAGCTCTGCATGAAGGCCCAAGTCCCCAGGCTGGATGTTGGGCATGTTCTTTCATCCAGGGCTCACACGCCCCGCCCCAGCCAACTTTAGGGATTGACCAGTGCTGTTCCCAGCCCAAACCTCCACGCATCTGCCTCTCTGCTGGCCCTGCACTAAGCCTGCCACCAACTCCTGTTTCAGTGATGGTGCAGGAAGGACTGGCACCTACATCCTCATTGACATGGTATTGAACCGCATGGCAAAAGGTAAGGCCCCTCCCTCCACTACCTGCAGACCCCCAGCCCTTGCTAGAGTTTCCCCACGGCCCAGGGGCCACCAAGGAGCAGGCTGTCACACCTCTAGGCCTTGCTCAGTCACCAAGCAGCCCATCCCAGGATGCACCAAGTCTTCCTCTGGACACCCCTGAACATCCCCCTTCCTGACCCACCTCCAGGGGTGAAGGAGATTGACATTGCTGCTACCCTGGAGCACGTCCGCGACCAGCGTCCTGGCCTCGTCCGCTCCAAGGTGACCATACTTCCCTCTCCTGCCCCCAGCTGCCACCCCTCCCTGGCACCCACTTCTCAGCCACCCTGGGAAACCAGCAGCCCTGCCTCTCCCACCTCCCCGCTGCCTCTGAGAGGTACCCCTCCTTGCAAAGGACCTGCACGGCACCCTGACCCTTGGAAAGTCCCCCTTGGCAGGGGCAGAGGTCAGGCCTTCCCATGACCCTCCTGCCACTTCCCTTCCTTAGGACCAATTTGAATTTGCCCTGACAGCTGTGGCAGAGGAGGTGAACGCCATCCTCAAAGCCCTGCCCCAGTGAGCCCTGGAACCCCACGGTGGGCAGCCCAGCCCGTTCCCACTGCCTGTGTGAGCATCTATTTGTGTACCCGCTCCTCCACACCTGCCTATCACTTTGGTCCCACTTGGACACGCCCAGCCCTTCCAAGAGGGGCGTAAGGAAGTGGGAGCAGCAAGCACAGGCTGAACCAGCCTCCTCACACGTGCGGGAACCCAGGCAACCCATACAGGAGGCGAGGACGGGGCAGCATGACTGCCCAGAGCCTTCGCCTGCCTGGGCTCCCGGCTGCTCTCCGAGGTTCCAGCTGCTCCTCACCTGTCTGTGCCCCTTCGCTTGCCTGCTGTGTGGACAGGCACAGCCCCACCCCAGGCCTTCTCCTGCCATGTGCCACTTAACCCCTCTGCCCTGGCACGAGAGAACATTTCTAGAAAACTCTACTTTTGTATCAATGTGAATAAAGTTAGTGAGTTGTCTGTGCAGCTGCAACCCGCACTCCCACTCTTCTGTCTGCTCTGCCTCCAGCTGCAGTTGCAGCCGCAGCTGCAGCCTGGATGCAAGTGGCCCTGCGGCCCCCTGGATCCAGAGAGCCCTGGCAGAGGGACAGGCCACATGTGGCCTGGGGGCCACCTCCCTCAGGTTCAGGTAGCAGTGCAACAGTGAGGCGGCCCAAGGCACCTTGTGTATATTCACCCATTGAATCCTCACAAAGCCACTACCAATGATTAACCCCATTGTATGATGAAGAGGCCTCAGCCCAGCACACGGCCAGGTCACACACTTTGGAACTGGTGGTTAGGATTTGAACCTGGGCAGCCTGACCTTGACCACCTCTCCGGTCAGTGCTTGGCAGCCGCCTCAGTTCCTTTAGCCTGAGGAGCAACCTTCATATGCAGGATGGCGGCTGGGACCTGTGGAGGTGCCAGCCACACCTCAGGGGACACTACAGCAAACCCGTGATGCCAGGCCTGGTCCACCAGAAAGCACACTTTCTCCCCGTCTGTACCTCTGTCCTTGAGGGTATTCTTCCTCCCAGAAAGAACCTTCATCTGCTGGTAATGAGGTGTCCTGTGACAAAGGGCCACAGAAGCAAAGCTAGAAAAGCCTTGGGCCTTGGCTGCTTGGAGTCATTTACCCATGTGCCTGCCAGCCTCAGCCTCAAAGGAAAAATGAGGTGACTATTATCTGCGGGAGTGGGGAGTGAAGGGACCAGCCAGCCTCCCACGGGCCCCCTACCAGGCACCACTGGAGCCCAGGTCCTGCATGCACAAAATTCCACAGGCTACAACTAGAGAAGACAATTTTTCTGTGAAGTTTCAGCAGCCTCTCTCACACCCTCCCTCTCTGGGAGGGGACAGAAATCCTTCATTCAGGGCAGGCTACTGCTCTGTACTGGAGAGCTGGGTATGGCCACACAAGCCTGCAATCCCAGCACCCTGGGAAGCTGAGCTAGGAGCATCAGTCTTGAGCTCAGCCCAGGAAATTTAGTAACTCTGCAAAACCCTACCTCAAAATTTTAAAAGATGAGGATGAGGATATAGCTCTATCTGAAGGCCCTGGGTTCATTCCCCAGTTAAAAACAAAACCAAAAAGCCACTGTACGCTGGGTATGGTGGCGCATGCCTGTAATCCCAGTACTCAGGAAGCTGAGGCAGGAGGATTTTGGTGAGTTTGAGGCCAATCTGAAATACACAGCAAGACTCTGTCTCAAAAAAACATTGTAGGCTCTTTGGCTACTAACGGTGAGGCCAAGAGCCTGTCCTAGAATCAGCAGATGGCAGGCCACACCATCCTGCAGGACAATGCAAAGACATTTTTCCGTGGCCACAGATACAGGGGGAGTGGCCTGGCTCTTTTCTCCCTAGGCCCTGATGAGCTTGGGGTGTGTGTCCAGCCTGTGGGCTTACTTGTGCTGCAGCCATGTGCCCCTGACTCACCTCTGGCTGCAAGCTGAGATGCTTACTTACTCTAGGAGTCTTTTTTTTTTTGTCTTTTTCGTTTTTATCAATACCAGGGATTGAACTCATGACTGCCTACTTGCAAGGAAGGCGCTTATGCCGCTGAGCTAAACCCCCAGCCCCTACTCTAGTCTTGGGGTACCAACTTTTACCCTGTCCCCAGCTTTCTGCGGTTCTTGTACTACAGTCATCTGAACTCAATCCGGTCCCACCTGTGCTGTGGGGTTGAGGGGAGAGGGTTTTAATGATCTTACGGGCATGAACTGGCTGCTAGGGGAAGGCAGTTATGGGGCCCCCCTGAAGTGAGGGCCAAGAGTGGAAGCCCTTCCTGGGGTTCCATAACATAACTGGGGAGAACAAGCTGGTGAAAAGGGAGACTTCCGCTGCCCAGTGACAGCTGCTTGGGCATAAAGGGAGGTGTTGACGCCTGGCATGTCACCCACTGGTCCTGTAGGGACCCTCCCAAGTTACCCTGAAGAGAGTAGGACAGGGTACCACTGAGCTCTTGCAACTCAAGCTTTATTGAATACCAGTTTCTCCCTTGGTCTGAGCCAAGCCTGGTTGGCTTTGCTAGGTCTCTGGGGCTCTGTGTTCCAGGGATGGGTAACACCCTACTGCACCAGACCCCCTCCCAGACCCTGGGCTCCCCAGGTAGGGAAGAGGAGAGGCAGCTGCCTGTGATGTTGATGAGAGAGAATGGACAGCAGGGTCAGAGACCAAAGAAAGCCATTCAAGCAGCAGCATGCCCTTTGTTTCCAGCACACGCCAGTGCCAGCCACATGCCTCTGTGAGGGGTGGCTTTCCCTTCCAAGCTGTGCCAGCCCACGTCCGTCAGCCTTCCAGGGCCACACCCTGCCTACTCTGTCTGCTGGCCCACAAGAAAAGAACTCCCAGATGTTGCAAGGTCTTGGCCTGCCCAGTCCAACCCTGGAGCTAGCAAGAAGTGTCAGGGGAACCCAGGCTCGGATCATTCCCCCTTCATCCACATCCTTGCTGCTGTGCCAGGGACAAATCAAAAGACAACAACTCTCCATCCAGAGCAAGTGACAGGCTGGTCAGGGCTGGAACTACATATCCCAAGAAGCACAGCTCCATAACCAGGCACCAATTCTCCTGGGTGTGTCCTATCAGAAATTCAGCTGGGTGTATTGCATTATGGGACTTGTAGTCCTCATGAGACAGCAGCAAACACCCAGGGAAGAGTACACCAGCTAAGACTACTGATGCCCCCCACCCACTGCCCAGACCCCAGCTCTACACTCAGCATGGGTGAGGGAGGAATGGAGTATCCCCTCCTATCACATGGGTGAGGGTGCTGTCCTGTTGGAACTGTGAATCGACTCTGCATCCTGGACATCCAGCTCAGAACACATCTGGGGAGAGAGCAGGGGTGGGTGAAAGGAGAGAGGGTCAGCTGCAAGCCATGGAGATGGAGCCAAGCATGCACACCTAGGCTGGCTGTGGGGCCATTCCCTGAACCCTGATGCATGGTGGGGAAGTAGCATGGGATACAGTCCATATCTAGGCCTCCCCCTGGGTTGCCCTGGCCTTAGCCCCCCTCTCCAGGTTAGTCAGCCTCACCTCTGCCTAGTCCTGCAGCTGGGGCAGGCTGAGGCAGCAAGAGGAAGGGAGGAAGAGTAGATCCGGCTCCGAATCTGGATGGCTGAGAGGCTCCCGCCCCACCCAGCTAGCCTCCCCTGAAGACCTCATGGCCCCACCGGCCCCAGCGTCTTCCTGGGAGCATTGAGGCTTCTCGGGGAGAGAAGGAGAAAGGAGTCCTAGCCAGGTGGCAGTGAAAGCAAGCGATGCAGCCTGCAGAGAGCTGCAGAAAGCAGAGTGGGAGGAAGGAGAGCAGCACCAGAAGGGAAGCACAGAGACAGTCAGAGCTCAGCACTGCACAGAATCCAGGGTCTGCAGCTGGACAAGGAGAGTGAAGACTCCACTCAACCTGCACTGCTCCCCAGAGGAGCTGCCAACTCGGGCTCAGAGCATCACACCCCAGGCCAAGTCCTCCTTCCTTGACACCCTTGGTAATTCAGGTGGCAGAGAACCTGAGCACAGAAGTCTCAACCCAAATCACTCATGCCCCTCAGGCGGGTCAGGGCTGGAACTCCCACTCTGCAAAGTGCCTCCAGCTTCCACACACCCCTCCGTGACCCAGACACCCCACCCCCCTCAGGGACCTATCAGCTGCACCCAGGGACCTATCAGCTCTGGCTGAGCACAGAAAATCCAAAGTCCACACTGGAATGTGGCAGGCATGGAAGGGGAACTCGTAGAGGGACTTGGAGTTCAGGCTCCTGCAACTCAGCCTGCTCAGCTCTGAGTCAAGACCTGAATCAGGTCGGGCCGGCCTGGCGTTCAGAGGATGAGGCACCGAGAGACTTTCTCCTCTGGGGACGGGCTGGGTTTCACCGCCTCACCCCGGGACCCTTCGTGGGTTCCCCCAGGACCTTGGTGATGGGCTGTGGGCCGTCCCTGCTGTTGCTGTTGTACCCCCCGCCCACCTGCCGGCTTTTGCCCAGCTGCTTCCATCTCTGATAGGCTGTAGGCCATGGCAAGCTGCAGGTCCTCATCCACCTCAGAGAGGTCGCTGTCGGTGGGGCGCGGAGCAGAGGTCTGCCGCATCTGCATGCCCCCCGACCTGGAGGTGACTGACTGTTGCTGCTCTCGGCGGCTCAGCTCCAAGCCCAGTGCCAGGTCATCTGGGACACCTGCAAGAGCCACAGCCACCCTGAGGCTCCAGATCGAGGCTGAGGCATCCTGCCAGGACACCACACATGAGGACAACCCTGACCACTTACAGCTTCTCTTTGGAACAGACACTCATGTATGAGGCCCCAGGATACGGTTAGGCACCTGGGGACGTATTCAGCTCTAGGAAGTACTGTTCTTTCTCTGTGGACGTTACTCTACCTCCCTACACCTCCCTTCCCTCCCTTTCCTAATCTATGAATAGGACTGACAGTGCCTATACACACCAATCATCCCACTGGTTAAATACATCGACCCATGTAAAGTGGGTCACCACACAGCACTTCATTGTTAGCAACTAAGCAAGGTTAGCCCAAGTGACAATCCTGGGGTGGGTAGTGTGGTGGAAGAGTTCTGGTCCAGGAATCCTGTACCCTGATCTGGATTCCTGGCTTAACTTTACCCCTTAATTGATAGGAAGGACTCTCAAGCCAGGGGCTCTTTGGATGTCAAAGTCATTTAAAATATTAAAATAAAAATGTAAATATTACCTACCTGCATATTCTCTAGATGCTTTAAGAATACAAAGGTTACTAATATGTGCAAGTGCTTTGCAAATGTAAGGACCCCCCACTGACAATGGGGGTGATGGGGTGGCCCTGTGAGACCCCTCTGTTTGCTTCCCCCATGGCCATCCCGATCCTGGCAGGCTGGCTTGCGGCTGCCATTCTGAAGGGCCCACTCCCAAGGGGGTTCAGATGGAAGTGTAGGGAGGGGGCCCAGGGTTCCCCACCGTGGCCCATAGTGGAATCATTACTCACCATTGATTGAAACTGACTTCAGCTGCCCGTCCTCCTCCACTTCCACCCGCTCCTGCCCGTTCTCCATGATTCTGTGGGAGACAGCACAGATCGGTCAATGAGCAGTGACCCAACCAGGCTCCAGCTGCCACAGGGCAGATTTTATATCTAAGCACAGCTCCCACCTCCACCCCTTGCTTCCAGACCCCTCCCGAATGCCCCTAAGAGGCCTCACCTGCGTGTGGTGATGCGATGTCCCTGGACATAAGAGGTGGACGTTGAAACAGAGCGGAAGGCACCAGCTCCGGGACTGAAGGAGAAAGATGAGGAGGAGAAATCTGGCATTGGGACAGAGGAGGTGGAGGAAAGACCATTAGAGGGGGGCTCTGTGCTGCGTCCCAGGCAGCAGAAGTCAGGAGCCTCAGGGTCCCCAACAGAGCTGGCCAGAGGCAGGGTTCCACATAGAGCACACAGGCCTGGAAAAGTGACAAGAGAATCCAGAACTCAGGACTCACAAAAATGCAAAGGGACCGTGCTTACCAGCGTGCCCAGGAAAGGAGGAGGAGAAGGTAAAGAAGGGGCCAGAGTGTCGGGAACCCCGGTTCTGAAGCTCTGAGAAGGGGCCCAGGTCATCTGCAGCAGAAAAGCAGATTCACAATCATCAGTGAAAATACCCCACTCCCTGCCACATGTGAACTTTGTTTTTAACTCTAGAAACATAAGCTGCTGAACAACTGGGTACATTTATGTTTTTGACATTGCTGTCCTTGGCCTTTACACGTTAAATTCATTTTCAGCAGGGCTGGGGATTTAGCTCAGCGGCATAAGCTCCTGCCTTGCAAGCAGGTGTCGTGAGTTTGATCCCTGGTACCAATTAAAAAAAAAAATTTGTTTTCAGCACTGTATGTGAAAATGCCCACAATCAGGAACCAAAGGGGAGACAGACAGAAGGAAGGACAGATGGCCCCTTTCATGGAGGCAGACAGCATGATAGGACCAGCAGGAGAGCAGGCAGCCCTACCTCTGCCATTTGCTTCATGACTCTAAGCAAGTCACCTGTGCCTCAGTTTCCTCATGTGTACATGGGCATTAAAGTTAGTCACCTCTCAGGGCTCACAATACTTGTCAAATACTTGACAGAGGATCATTCTAAAGCCGGGCATATGTCATTATGTGTACCACGACCACTCCTGTCACGTGGTGCTTTGAGTCTTGCTCTCATGGCTGTTTTTGTGGAGCTCTAACAATGTGGTATTGTTGCTGTCACTTAACAAGGCCAGTCTGTAAAGTGACACTGGCAGGTCATGTGTGAGGTTCCATCCCAGCGCTCACTGCACCCACACACACCCACAAAATCTTCCGCCTGTGGATCCCATGCCCTTCTCAGCCTCCTGTGCAAAGGCCTCCCTGAGAATGGAGGACAGGCCCAAAGTGGGGAGCTGAGCCCCTAAGTCCACTCACCAAAGAGCTCCGCAAAAGGGTCTCCGCTCCCAAAGAATTCCCGGAAGACTTCCTCAGGGCTGCGGAAGCTGAAGGTGAAGCCAGGCCCACCACCACCAGCTTCTGCCCGAGAGGGGCCGGCTCCTAGAGGAGAGGCAGGATGAGAGGGGCCCTGGGGCGTCCATCTCGCCTGAGCCAGGTGATCCACCTAAGGCACTGCCAGGAGCCTCAGAGAAAGCAGCCGCAACAAGGACCTGCCTTGCCAACTCTGCCCTGGCCCACTTCCATCCTGGGGCCCTGCCGTCCACCTACCTGCCCCAGTCAGCCCTTCCCGGCCGTATCGGTCATAGATCTCCCGCTTATGCTCTGAAAAGAGAGATCCGGTCATTTCTCCCTCCCTCTGACACATGGGTGTCCCCTCCCAGGCTAGGCCAACCCTCAGAGGACAGCCTAGAGCCTGATACTGGGGCACAGCAGGGTGTTCAGGGGACACAGACTGGGTTTTAGTAGCTGCTACGCCCTTCACTTGGCTGGTTTTTCCTCATCTGTAAAATGGACATAGTAAGGGCTGGGGATTTAGCTCAGCAGCCTAAGAGCCTGCCTAGCAAGTGAAAGGTCATGAGTTCGATCCCCAATACCAAAAAAAAAAAAAAAAAAAAAAAAAGACACCACAACAACAGCCACATCATAGAACACCACAAGGATTAAATGAAATAATCTACATAAACTGCTTAGCAGCGCAGCTGGCACATGATGTTTGGTAAACACGAGCTGGGGGTGTAAATCAGCCGCAGAGGCCTTACCTGCCGTGCACAAAGCCCTAGGTTCAATCCTCAAATAAATGAATTATGTTAGCTAATCATGGTCTATTATTAACCAGGGCTTGTCTCTGAGGGACTTTCTATAACCACCAAAGCCAAATCGGATGCCTAGTATTCCCTGTCAAACCTCCCTGTTCCTCTAACCCTGTCACAATCTGACAGCTCTATGCGTTACCTGGTTAGTGCCCACCTTCCCCACTAGAGCAGGATAAAAACAATGTCTGCTTGTTCTCCACTGCTTCACCAGCATCCAACAGATGCCTGGCACTATAACCATTCAATAGCTACTTCCTGCATCAATGAATCAATGAATGAATGAATGCAGAAGACACAGACCTGGGATGGAGGCTGCAGTTCAGCGGTGGAGCACTTGGCTAACACATGCAGGGCCCCGGGTCCAATGCCCAGCACCACAAAACAAACAAACAAAAAAGGCAGACTCTGATGCATCATCCAGCTCTGTAGGGTCTCTCAGCCTCAGTTTCCTTGCCCATACAATGGGGGCGATAACACTTTCCTCACAGGAAGGCTTGAAGGAGATTACTAAGGTCTGGCACAAGGGAACTGAATACACATTTGTTCCTGCCCTGCTCCCTTCCCTTGTCTGAACCCACACTGCTCTGCAGACCCTGGGGGGCAGCGCTGTCCCTGTGGAAGAGGGCATTTAAATGCCAGGCTGAAGAAAGCATGGGGATGCTGGTGGAGGTTCGGCTCTGGGGAGAAGTGAGACAGGGCATGACCCCGGAGATGTGTTGCGCCCTGCATCGACCCCGGGCCTTACTGTCAGACAGCACTTCATAGGCCTCTGCCACCTCCTTAAACTTCTTCTCAGCAAACTCTTTGTTATCGGGGTTCTTGTCTGGGTGCCACTGTAGAGCCTTTTTTCGGTACCTGCAGGAAGGCGAGTACGGAGGGAGGGTCAGGGGACAAATGCTGTCTCGTCTCACCAGGAAACCAGGCCACCCATTCTGCCCTGGCCCACCACTGTCCTTTCACGGGCAGACCCGCCCACCCCAGATGCTGGGGCTGCTCTCGGGCTGCTCTTTTCGTGGGACTCTTCTCTCTTCCCTCTGCACCAGGGCTAGGACTAACCTAGGGGCCCACAGTGACCCCACTGTCAGAACGCTCCCATCCAGGCCACATGTGGCCACAGAGGGTACAGGGACCCTGGCCTCCCCCTCGCAGGGCTCAGACATCTTTGTGTTGCGTGTAGAGAAAGCCCGCGTCTAGGGGGCTGGCAAGGCCCCACGGGACAGCTCCCGGCATTGCCTCTTCCTTCCGTCTCTGGATTTGCTCTTTCTCCAGGGCATCTTTCCCCCCTACAGGCATCACTTTTCTTGGGAGCAGAGGGTGACAGGTCTCCTGGCGGCACTTACGCCTTCTTGATGTCATCGGCAGACGCGCTGGGCGGCACGTCCAGAATCTCGTAGTAGGATGCCATGGCGGGCGGCGGGCGGGCCTCCTAGGGGCTGCAGGGCAGAAGCGGTCAGGCCCCGGGAACCAGCAGCCCCTCCTAGCGGCTGGAGACCCCTAGAGGAAGGGAGGCGCTCCCGGCGGGAGCCGCGCCGGGCCGTGCTCGTAGCAGGTGATTGGACTTCCTGCGCAGCCTTATCTCTCCCAGCAGGCCGGGGCCCCGGGCTATCTCGGCGCACACGCCCGGGGAGCCCGACCGGAACCCCCTGACTCCAGCAGCCCGACCCGGAGCCCCCAGCCTGACTCGGGCCCGGCCGCACCGCCTCCGCCGGGAGTCCCGCCCCTGCCCCCCGACGGGAACGGTCCGGCACCCGCAGCCCCAGCTCGCGGCTGCTGCGTAGGACGCGCCGGCCCAGCTGGGCGCTCAGGCGTGCGTCGGCGGCACGGAAACTACTAGAGAGCAGGAGAAGGCCGGCTCCGCCCGGCACCCCAAGGGGGAGGGGGACAGCAGGGGCTGCTGGGAGATGGGGGCGGAGCCGGCTATTTCGGGATTGCACCCCGGCGACGTCACTTCAGGTGGCACCTGCGAGACCCGGGCCCGCTGCGTCGGTCCAGGCGTGACGCACTAGCGTAAACAAGATGCTCTCCGGTCAGCATGACTCATGGTACTCACCCGGAGGTACTCATCGCCACCCCGACCGAGGTCCGGCCCATTCCACTCTGGATCTAACTCCTCCCTTCTGCAGCCCCTGGTCCTTAAAAAAGGCTGCCCTAGCTTCCCGGAGTAGGTCACACTTGCCTTTTATAGAATCTCGTGGCTTTCTTTCCTCACACTTGTCACAGCCACAAATTAGCATTGGTTGGTCTGCTTATTTGATTACTATTAACCTCCCCCGCTAAACTGTAAATCCCTTTTTTCAGTAGTATATATAGGACAGTAGCCAAAATACCCATTGGATGATTAAATATTAAACAGATGCAAACCTCTTGGTGACAGTTTTGACACATTGGGAGGGGTGGGATTAAATAGGACAGTAAAGGGAAATTCCCTGGATTCAAGGCTTTTCTTCCCAAGTTGATCCTGAGTAGGCCCACACCTCAAAATGGTTCTGAGTTCAGCTCTCCTAAGAGAACTTACTCAGTACGGTCCATCCAATCCACATGACTAGTTTAGTACTGTCCACATTACACGTGACCGGGATATATAAGGAAGAATGCCAGGCCTGGAGGACATGACCCAGTGCTACCTAGCATGTGTGGGGCCTTGGGTTCAATCTCCATTACCTCAAAAAAATGAAAAACACAAGAAAAGAAGACTCTTAACCCCTGACTTTCCTGAGCTAGAATTTGAAAAGAGACCCACTGGGAAACCTTCAGTCCTGCCCCTTTGGAAACAGACCTGGGTTTGCAACCCGGCCCCACTGGAGGACTTGGGGAAACTTCTGAGGACTTGGTTTCTTCTCCCTGAATGCTGTATAGACCATGCTGTTGGGAAGCCATAGGAGACAGGGTCTGTAACAGGAGTTTTTAGTATAAACCTCTCCAGCATCCCATTTGGCCCAGGGGAAGCAATAGTTATGTGAGTCTAGAATGGTTGGCCCGGGAACCTGTCCATAGACACGAAGTCTGGAGTGGGGCATGTGCGCAGAAGGCGGTGTGATTTGTCCAGCTGTCCTGGTTGCGCACAATCTGAGCCTGCGGCCTCCATTTGGGTAATTCCCGCCTACTTTTGGGGAATTTACATACCATGGGCTCCAACGGGAGGCAGGCCATCTGCCACAAAGCCTTAACACTTGCGGTTGACACTCCTCGAAACTTCTAGCTCTAAGGGTGCAAAGAAATGGCATAAGCACTGCCAATCAGGTGCAGCTGCTGGGCCTGAATCTGGGGCAAGTCCCTGAGAAGGTGTAGAGATCCTCAGAATCCTCCTCGGGTGGTGGTGGCAGCCATGGGGGCCTGCAGCGGCCTCTAGTGTCTGAGGGAGGAAACGCCAGGCTCTATGACGGCACTGTGGCAGGATAGTTACTGCGGGGTGGGGCTGGGGTCAAGGGAACCAGGGTCTCCAACATAGGCTGCTCCGTGCCCCAAGCTTGACCGCCAAGCATCCTGTAGTGTCTTCCTGTTTGCTCACCTTTGCGTTGGCTCTGTGTGCCAGTCTTTATCTCGCTAGTTGAAGGACAGGGCGTTGTTTTTGTTGTTTTGTTTGCTCTTTAAATTTGGCTGAAGTTCATTTCTGCTATTTACCCTGAGTCTTGACTGAGGTTAAATTGGGTTTCAGGGGAACACTAGATTAGGTTAGGTTAGGTCAACTCCAAAACCTTCCAAGTCTCTGCCTTTTTCTTCGTACTTCTTTCATCTCAGCAGACGTCTGCTAGCACCGCCTGTGTATGTGGTATTATATTAAGGATAGAGACACAAAGAGGTTTAAGTTCCATTTAAGTTCTAACTGGTATTTTATTTCAAGGAAATAAAATCTAGTTGAGACATAAGCAAATGAAAACTGAGGGAAATCTTACAGAGCATATATTTATCAGACTAAGAATTAGTTTCCTTTGTCCACAAAATAAATCAAAAAAAAAATTAGTAAGGCAAACAATGCAATTTTTTCAGTGCTGGCAATGGAACTCAGGGTCTCGAGAATCCTGGGCAAGTGCTTTACCCTCAGCCCGCAGTGTAGTTTTTTAAATGGGCAAAAGGTCCAGACAGCTCATAGAAAAGGAAATACTGACTCAGAAACACATGTAAATATGTTCAGTCTCACCCACATCGAGACATGTAAACAAAAGCTGCAGAAAAACATTTTCAATTAGTGAGTGATTGATAAGGATCAAAAAGTTTTATTACTATTATTATTATTTGATCTTTTGAGACAGGGTTTCACCATGCAGTTCAGGTTGGCCTTGAACTCACTTGATAGCCTAGGCTGGAACTCACAGCAATTTTCCTGCCTCAGCCTCCCACACTGGAATCACATCGTGGACCGCCGTGCTTGACACTGGATCAGAAGGTTTGATACATCATCAGGGCAAGGCTGTAGGCCCATGTTCTCATACATTAGTAGTGGCAGGGGCAGCTAATTTGGTATTATTTCTAAAGAGAGAAATATGCAATGCAACAGAATGTACACAGCCTTTGACCCAGCAATTCTAGTTCTAAAAATTTGTGATTGTATATTTATATATAGGCAGAGAAGTATGTGTGGAGTTGCAAAAGCATTCATCTTCTCCACCCCTACACTGGAGACAGAATCTCAGCCTCTGCCACTGAGCTATAACCTCAATCACAGCGTCCTTTTAAAAAGCATACATGACTGTAATGCCAGCACTCTGGGCGGCTGAGGCAAGAGGGCTGCAAGTTTCAGTCACCTAAGTAGTTTAGTAACTTAGTGAGACCTGGCCTCAAAATAAAAAATAAAAATACAAAGGGCTGGATGTAGCGCAGTGCAAAGGCGTTGCGTTCAATCCACAATGCCACATGAAGGAGAAAGAAAAGGAGAAGAAAAAGACTGATAGAGGGGGGAGAAGAGGGGAGGGGGAAGAAAAGGGAGAAGAGGGAAGGGAAGGAAAGGGGAAGGGAAGGGAAGGGAAGGGAAAGAAAAGAAAAGAAAAGAGCCCAAACACCAATTAATAGCCGACTGGTTAAATAAGCCATGGTACACTATACGTGATGGGATATTGTCATCAAAGAGAATGTGCTGATGAGGACCATTTTTAGATTGAAAGTTAAATTTAAAAGTGAAATTCAAATGGGAAAGGAAGAAAGGGGGAAAAAACAAGATAAGATAGTTATACAGCTAGTTTCTCTTAGTTCATTGGAAAGAAAGATTTGTGCTAATATTGTTTGGATGCAATATCATGGCTGTATCTTTTTTTTTTTTTTTATCGGTACCAGGGATCTAATTCATGACCGCACACTGGCAAGGCAGGCGCTTATGCTGCTGAGCTAAATCCGTAGCCCCTCATGCCTGTATCTTGTACTCTGAATAACTACTATAAAAACAATCTGCAATGTATTAATTAATGTAACTCCAAATAACTTGTTTTGAAACTGTTTTTTTGTTATTTTTATTTTTCTCTCTTTTAAAAAAATGAGGTGCAAAACAGGGTGTATATTAAAAATATATGGGCACACATTAACATCTAAGATGTCTCTAAAAGAAAACACTGACAAAGAGACTTAACAGCGGTACCTGTTGAGCGGAGAGCACGATGATGAAGATTTATCTCTGCTGTTCGCACGTTATTGAGTACATTTAGGACCCTGAAGCGTGTGCCGGTAACAGCTGTGCAAATACACGTTAAAAAGTGCTGAGGCCTAGTTGGGCCCTAGGACATTTCCCAGAAGCCATGTGCTACTGTACAAGGCAGCCCCTGCCAAGTGCCAGATGAGTGACAGAGGTGGATGGGAATCCAGAGGAGGGAGCCCTGCCACACGGCAGCGGGTGGCTTCAGGAAGGCTGTGACCTCAGCAGGAAGGAATGGCAACTTTGGGACAGCAGAGCCATGGCTTGCAGAGAGAGAAAATGCTGAGAGCACGGCTTCGGGGGCGGGCACACTCCTGACACAGCAGAGGTGAGGGAATGAGCTTGTTACGTGGCACTCAAGGCTGGGAAGCTGTCTCCCTGCCCGCAGGAGGTAATTGTGCCCTGGCTGTAGAAGCATCAGAGATGAAAGGATTGTCCTGCGCAGAGGAGGAAGCCCCCAGGAGCTGGACTAGGTGCCACACCCAGCCGCCCCCAGAAATCTGGGTTTCCACCTCCCCTACCTGTACCCAGTCCAACCTACAGGTGTCTACCAGCAGGGCAGACCCCGTGGGGCCTGGGTGGAGATGAAGATACAGCACCCAGGGAGGGCTGGCTGGAGTAGCATGGGAGAGGGACTGGCCACCTCTCGGGATGCCTAGCCGTCCTGGCAGGTGACATTCCCACCCCTTTCTCTCATAGAACATGTCAGGAGAACCTTTCAAAGGGCAGCGATGCCAAACAGGGATGTGTCAAGCGTCAAGCCCTGGGGGCACCTGAGTCACTGTCTGGGCTTTGCTTACCTGTTCTGCTGAAAGAGATGGTGTCTGGAGGAGTGCCTAGAACATCGTGGGCAGGAGGGTGGGGCCAGTTTCAGCTCAGGGGCCCCCCACCCTGGCTTGGAGCCCGGCTCCCCCATTCCCTGTGCAAGTCACATGGCTTCTTCACACTGGACTCCACATCTATGAAATAGGCAATAATGGAATGAGTTCCCTCAATAAACGCTGGGTGTTTAATGTACCAGGTAACATGCAAAGTGCTGAGGGGAGGACCGTGAGGAACGAGGCCTTGTTCCCAAGGAGCTCCTGTTCCAATGGGTACCATAGCTATATAAAGCTCAGATAT